TTATAGCTTCATAAATTAATATTATAAAGAATTTTATTAAAAATGAATTTTTTAAATTATTTATTTTTTTTAACAATATAATTTTAAAAATTTACATCGAAATAAATTTATCTAATATATATAGCGTGTAAATTTTGTTAGGGTATATAAATATTCCATATTACTAATCTGTAATTTTTGTTAATATATTGTGGATGCATTTAACTATTATTGACATATTTTTTTATAAATAATAGAAGATTCATAAACTTATATTTATTGACATATTTTGCGTGACTAAGTTGGAAGGTATGAGGTAGTTTACTAAAATCAAATTGTTAAACGTATATTTTTTATTATAGATATGATTTTTCATAAGATATAATAATGATAAGATTATTAGAGAGTTAATGTAACATAACTTTTTAGTAATAGTCCATTTTTAAAAATATCACACATGAAGTCAAGTCATGACTTCTGTTTTAATATATAAGATGTAGGTTTTCAATTTTTTAAAAATTGTTTATTTACTTATTATTATTATTTTCGTATATTATATTTTAATTAATATCTATATATTTTTACATTTGAAGATTAATATTAATGTTTAATTTAATATTTTCATTTCTTATACTTTATATATACTTAATATATATTTGTTACATTTTAAGATGGATGTTTAATGCTTAATGTATATTTTCCATTTTTTATATTTTATATTTACTTCTTACTTTTATTATTTTATTATTTTTATTATTATTATTTTATTTTTATTTTTTCGAATATTATATATTTACTAAATATCTATATTTTACATTTTAAGATAGATGTTTAATGTTAAATGTACTTTTTCCCTTTTTTAAAAAAAAATTGTGTATTGACTAATTATTCTTTATATAATTCGTATATTATATATTTACATATTTAAATGTATATTTACTTATATTTTCATATGATATAATGTATATTGGTAATAATGTGTAGTATGATAATAATGTGATTTAAAATAATAAGGTAAAAATAATAGTGATGCCACGTGGTTTCTTTTTGAATAAAGTTTCTAAAATGATGTGGACCCTCTCTTGAACTCAAAAGGCTCTTTTTATGATTATAGATTTTTTTTTTTTTAAATGTGTATATTTACTCATATTTAATTTAACTTTAGTGTGTTTATAGACAAAAAGTCTATAAACACGCATGTCAATGATCTAACTCACACGATCGAGACCTCAGGGCGAGTGGTGAGTGAGTTCCCCCTAATGCCGCTGCTACAGATGCATCTGGTCATCTTGTTGGTGATGTAAACCTTGTTCTTATTTACATTTTAAGATCGATGTTTAATGCAAAATGTAATATTTTAATTTTGAGCTTGTTAAGTATTTTTGTTGATTTCTTTATACTGTGGATGTCCCTTTCTTACACTTTATTTTACTCAATAACTTTACATTTTAAGGTAGATGTTTAATTTTTAATGTATTTATTCATTAATTTTTTATATTGTGTATTTACTTATTATTATTATTATTATTATTATTATTATTATTATTATTATTACTACTACTATTATTATTTTATATTATATATTTACTCAATATCTATATTTTAAAAATTTTGATAGATGTTTGATGTTCAATGTAGTTTTTCAATTTTTTTTAAACTGTGGATTTACTTATTATTATTATTATTATTCTTATTATTCTTATTATTATTATTATTATTATTATTATTATTATTTTAGTGTATTATATATTTACTTAATATCTATATTTATATATTTAAATGTATATTTAATTTTAATGTACTATTTCAATTTTAAAATTATATATTTACTTATTATTTTTTTTCTTTATATTGTGTATTTTCATTTCTTATACTTTATTTTACTTCATATCTATTTTTAAATTTTAAGATAGATATTTAATGATTAATGTACTTTTCCATTTTTAATTGTGTATTTGTTTATTATTATTATTATTGTATATTATATATTTATTTATTATTTGTATTTTACATTTTAAGATAGATGTTTAATGATTAATGCATTTTTTCATTTTTCAATTGTGTATTTTCTTATTAATATTATTTTTCTTACTTAATAATATCTATATTTTGCATTTAAGATGGATATTTAATGGTTAATGTACTTTTTCCATATTTTAAATTGTGTATTTTCTTATGATTATACATATAATTATTATATTATCTATTAATGTAAAACTATACATTATATCAATACTTCCATTGGCTATTATATATATGCTCTAGATGTACTCACAATTTTTAAATTTTGTTGTTTCATGTCCCCGCTTCCATCCACGTATCCGTTCCGATGCAACATAGTGTTTCTCCATCTTTAATAAGTACTCCCTCCGTTCCTAAAAGATCAATATTCTGGAAAAATATTTTGTTTCAAAAAGATGTATATTCTATGTTTTCTATGAGAAAATCACAAGTTTCAAAAAAATTAATTGATTTTATTAGATTACTATTGGCTAAAAGTTGTTGGAAATTGAAAATTACGGAAAACGATAGTGATTTAATGTGTTTTCTTAATATGTGTGAAAACACTAGAAAGACTATCTTTTAGGAACAGATGGAGTAAAATTCAATTATTTGGAGTTATGGTTGAGATTCAACAAAAGTTAGTTTCAGATAAAAAACTATCTTACCAGAAAATGACTACAACATCTTACAATTATATTAATATGATGGGGAACTGCTAAAACTAGCACATTCATGATACACTATTTCATTTTTACATTAATCATCTTTAGCCTTAAAAATTTTATAGTCAAAAGACCATAATACCCTTAATTAATTTTGTAGAAAATATATAGTTTAGAATTTAGGGTTAAGGGTTTAGGGTTTAGGGTTTAGAATTTAGAATTTAGGGTTTAGAGTTTAGGGTTTAGAATTTAGGGTTTTAGGTTTAGAATTTAGGGTTTAGAATTTAGGGTTTAAGATTTCGAATTTAGGGTTTAGGATTTAGGGTATATAATTTAGGGTTTACGGTTTATAATTTTAGGGTTAGGGGTTTAGGGTTTTGAATTTAGAATATAGAATTTAGGGTTTAGGGTATATAATTTAAGGTTTCGGATTTAGAAAATAGGGTTTAGGGTTTGAATTTCGAAATAGTATAATTCGAAAAAAAATAAAAAATATTTTTTTTTCTATTTTTTACTTATTTACATATTTATTTTATATATATAACGAACAAGGGTATAAGAGTCTTTTATCTTTTAATGAAAAGTGTATTTTTGAAAATGTCCCTATTTTTAAGGTAAATGTGAATTAATGTATCTAAGAATGTGTATTTATGCAATTTTCCCTAATATGATTTAGGCAAACAAATATGATTTAGAGATACTACAAAATTGATTTTAAATGTTTTCAAAAATACAGTACATTGATGACTAAGAGGTAGTCATCAAGGTATAACATATATGGTGCTTTTGAGATTGTGAACTAAAGTTGCTATTGGCATATAAAAACTGGAAACCCTTAAAATTCAACTTTTCATAAATATTTTGTGTTATGGCAAGAATCCATTTAGTTATATAATATAGTATAGCATCTTTGAACGTTTGTGAGGGGTGGCAGTCTAAAGCTAGCGTGTTTTTCCCAGTGATGAAAGTTTTGCCATTGCATATTCGAACATGTAAGGATTCAACTCCCCATGTTTCAAAGAGAATTATTGACTCATGAGTCACCTCTCATGAGGTTCCTGTAACGTTTCCTTCTCACACTAAATTTAAATTTGGAAGAACACCTTTGAATCTATGAGGAGCAATTCAACTTTCATGAGTATGTTTCCCTTCTAGAAGTTGCCGGCTTCTCAGTAATAAATCAACCTAACAAAAATTTCTCTGTAAGAAATCTCTTTGGAGGTCGTCAAATGTTTTTAACACAGTAAAGGTTGATAATGGAGCCATTGTTTTTTTTTGCTGGAGTTTTGCGTTGATGGAGGCAATGGTGTGAGTCGATTGTGTTTTAAAGAGAGCTATAAATCGTGTTGTCTCTTTTATATAATAATTTTTGCTCTTTTTATGAAATGGTAATATGACATTATGGAGATAAGCCGCTATTCTTTAGTGAAAATGATATTTTTAATGTAAAATGGTATTCTTACATATGTTTAATGTAGTATTTTCATTTTTTATTTTATTAGTAATATAAAATAATATATAGATAAATATTTCGGATTATTTTTTAAAAATTGAAATGGTAATCTTACATATGTTTTATTTAGTATTTCCATTTCTACTGTTTTTTATTTACATATTATTTTATTATTTTTGAAATTATATATATCATGGTGATCTTACATATGTTTAATATTGTAGTATTTCCGTTTATAATATTGTATATTTATATATTTTTTATTATTTGTGATATATTTTACTTAAGAAAATATATATTTTTGTTAATGTTATTCTTTCTTTTTTCATTTTACTTTAATAATTAGCAACTTTAAGTGAAGTTCATATGTTAATATTTATTTTTTTCAGTTTAAGTTATATATTTACAACTAATTTCGCTTTTAAATATTTTTTGGAAATATTTACATTTTCAAACATAATATTTTTGTTAATGTTATTTTTTCATTATACTTCTATCTTTTAGTGTCACGTGGTATCTTTTTAAACATAGTTTTTGCGTTGATGTAGTCACTCTCTGGTGCTTCAAAAATTCTCATTTTATTGGTAGACTTGAATCAAGAATATATCTTACACACAAAAAAATCGATCCAAATTCAAAATATTTGCTTACTGAATTTCTCTCAACAATATATAAAACATGATTGAAACCTAAGATGTTAAACCCTGAAATGCCGACCCAAACACCATGCCTGATAACTTTGTAGCAGAAAATAAAAATTACTTGAGATTCTTTTAGTTTTTGGTACGTGCCAGTGCCATTATTCTTTTTACGATTTTGTTCCCAATGGCAATATGAATCCATTATTTTCTTTTAAGATTCCGTTAAGATAACAACAAGCACATAAAGTTGTAACACCGTATGCATTCTATAAAATAAGTTTATGAATCAAAATTGATAACTTCAGTTCAACTACAGTATCTAATCTACTAGTCTTCACCTACCAAATATTAAACATTGTGTCACAATCAACAATACAACGTTTTCAACAACAACAAAAACAATACAACGTCAACCAAGAGAAGGATTGAGTTTTCCGGCAACCAGTAAAGTATTCTCCGGCGAGATGCTAGCCGGAATATATTTCACAAGCTTTGAATTTAACCCATGTTTCTTAACCCACTTCATCCTCCCTGCATCGATTATCTGCTTGCATTTAAACCCTAAAACAGCTCTTTCCATGGGCTTCATTTTCTTCACAACTTCCTCCACGCTGCTCAAAGAATCATCTTCAACCTCGTCTCGTTCCTCCTTTGCACTGAATCAGAAGAATAATAAAAATGAAATATAACTTATTCAAAGTAAACTTCTTTATCATGATTGAACCAAGAAATGTTACTTTGAAGCATCAATGTCGTCAACACCCGGAACTTTGGAACCATGATCATCATCTACAGCCCAGCTAGTAAACCAAGTCATGGTATGGAACTCGTCTTTGGAAATCCCCAGGCTAATGATATATTCTTTATCTGTGAGAACAAAAGAAAAACAGAAAACCATGTTCTTATATATTACTGGATGTGTTCTATAGACCAAACAAGAAGCAGTGACAGTGAGCTTACTTATATAGCTTTTCCATTGGCAAAGATGATGGCAACAAGTCGCGATAGCGAGACCTCTTAAAACAGGGCTTTCACCATCTTGTCTAGATAGACAACATCTTAAGCTCAAATCTAATCATCACACATTAGCAAAAAATAGAAATTCACTATGAAGTGGAAATCAGTAACTATAGGAGTAAGAGATAAGCGTGTCGTGTTTACCTGTTGCAGGGCCGCATAAATGTTTCCCAACAGCCACATAAGGAACCCCTTGTAATGATTCGACCGCGTTAAGGTTCAAATCTTCAACTGAAACACACACAAAAATGTTACAAAACAGGAACACTTAAAACAAGAAAAGGAACTATGTTTAGGAACCTTACTATCGATTCTCATTCGCTCTAATACCAAGTTCTCCTTTTGCCTCAATGACCGATCAGCCTACAAGTAGTAAAAACCAACGTTTAAGCAATCGTTAGGCGGTAACTAAGCATTTTATAGGGGATTATTGATTTAGCTGCAGACGCCTAGACCAATTTTTTGAATTCCTAGACCGTTTTTTTTTCAAATATCATTCAAGAAAAATCGTTTCTATTAGCCCGATTTGCCGCCTACACTGATTTTTATAACACTGAAAAGAAACCGAATAAACACAAAGGAGGAAGCTTAACAAACCTTAAGCTTATAAGATTTCCTCTCAACTAAATACACTTTCTTGACTCCATAGCAATCAGCTAGCATCTGCGTTAAGTATCCTCTCCCAGCTCCAAATTCAACAACAGCAGGCACACTATCATCTTTCCCATCCAAATCACTTTCAGAACATTCAAGATTTGTGTTACACTTCTTCAATGCACCAATCTTTTCCAAGTTACCAAGAATAGAACCTTGCTGCAAAACATGTTTCTCTTGAAACGGTAACTTCCTACACCAACAATCAAAAACCCATCAGTAATTAAAAAAGAAAAGAACTTCTCACTCTCACTAACCAAAAATTCTCAACCATTATTACCTATCTATCTCCTTATTAAACCATATGTTACAAGCTTCAGGTGACAAATGCGAATCTTCAATATCATTACATATACCGCCATGAACCTCCTCAATCTTCTTAACAAGCTGATGAAACTTCGAAACACTCATACTATAGACCAGATTCCTCTTCATCTCTGAAGTAAAAACAGAGTAACAAGAACCTATCTTTTCTTCTTCTTCTTCTTCGTTTCCGGCATTAATACCCTTTTGATAAAACACTTGACCAGACAATGCAACGTTCTGTTTCAACAAAGGACATCTCTTTACATGACTTTCGAGATTCTCCTGCAACACAGAGCTGATAACTTACCAATTAATACACTGAAATATTTGAAAATTAAAAAGAAAAGTAAATTGAAACTCACTGAGAAGGATCAATAGGACATGGAATCCATTGACCATCTAATCTCTGGCTATGGTTTCCACAAAACCTGTTTTATTGATTACTTCAGCAAAATTAGAAATGAAAAAGAAATAAAAAAAGAAACAAACTTTTCACTTGGGAACTTACAAGGAGCTGTCAATTCGAGAATTGGCGCATGATCTTTTCTTCTTCGGAAGCCAGAAATTGCATCGACTGCCATTTCTCGCCGCCATTGTCAGCTGAGTTTTTCTTTTCCAGCGAGAGAGTGCGTTGAGGAGGTTTTCTACCCAAGATGGGCTTCATTTTCTACCCATTAAGGCTTTTCTCAGCCCATTAACTTTTAAAATATGAAATAACAGAGGGAATACATTATTTCAGTTTTCATTCTCACCAAAAAAATAATGACATGACTATAAAAAAAAACGATATGGCTACAAAAAAAAATTGACATGGTATCAACTTTAGTTATGATATGTAAAATTTCTTTATAAAAATCTACTCTATTAAATAGAGTCATTCATTTTATCTACTGATACAAGTTGTCATTTAAATTTGGACTCATTCTAAAAGGTTACAAATAATATAAGTCATATAATTGATTGAACCGTATTACTTAAATTAAACCAACACAAATAATGTAAAGAGACGACCTTAATGTAAACTACCTTCAAAATATGGCAGATATCTATGTGTATACCAAAACACACATAATTTCTCCTACAAATATGAAATGTTCTAAAAGAATATATATCATCAAAATATGGAATATGGAAATCTACTAACTATACTTAAATTAAACCAGTGGTTATTTATGAAATATAGTCTTGGGCTTACTTTTATTTTTTGAACAAATTATATAGTTTGGTTTTTGGGCTTAGTATTAAGAAAAAACTCTAAAAACATTGAATAAACTTTTCACCTTAAAAGATCAAAAAATCAATTATTATTTTCAGACCCAAAAGGTATTTAATATTTTTAACAAAACAAAATTATCTATTATTAATCATTTATTTAAATCATGTACTTTAAAACATGTTAATATATTTTTTTATTTTAAATAACAATCACTTTGTTTTAATAAAATTCAATGGTAACTTTTAAATAATTTATTGTTTTATTTTTCTTAAATAATTTACTGATTAAAAAAATATAAAGCAAAACCAAAAACTAAATCTAAAAAATAAAATCCAAAACCAAAAGCTGAAAACACATGTTATATTTTTTTGCTTTGTTTATTTACAAAATAAACTATTTCAAACTTTTTTTTAAGAATTTGTTGTCATCTTTTCAGTTTTGAATTAGATGTTCGATTATTTGAGATTTGTTTGTTGGTAATATTAGTTCAAACTAACACTTCGTGTTTAAAAATTAAAAACCCAAACCAAAAACTGAAAATGAAAAGTAGAAACTTAAAACTAAAAACCAAAAACCAAAATCTAAAAATAAAAATTGAAACTAAAAACTAATGAAAAATAATCATCACCATAAATTTAGGTGAACTAATTTTATATCAAAATATTCTTTAAACTAAGACAAAATCCAATTATATAAATTTTTAATCATAAAAAATTTCCGCGCTTTCAAGCGCGGGTCAAAATCTAGTTTATAATTATTGGAAAGATTTTCCTTTGATTTGGCATTAGCTAATAACTTTTTATTATCATTATAAAATAAAATTTATGTATAAATATTTATTTTGGTAAGACTTTTCAAATATATCAATAACTAATAAACCATATATCACCATTACAATATATATACAACACTAATAAACAAATACACCAAATATAAGTACACTGTAAAAATATTCACATTAACTTATATATCCTATTTTATATATATATATATATATATATATATATATATATATATATATGTGTGTGTGTGTGTGTACATATATATTAAAATTAATTGGAAACATGCTTTAAATTAGCAGATTAACTTATTTTAACTGATACAAAAAGGTGTAAAATTTATTATATATATATATATATATATAAGTATAGACATATTTAAAATTAGGGATAAAAGACATAGTTTTGGTTTGGTTTAATCGGATTTCTTTAGTTTAGTTTTTTTAAGAAATCAACGCATGGTCATGAAATCATCATATTGGTGACTGTAGAAAAAACGAACTAAGTAAACTAAATCCAATATAAAATTTAAATAATTTTTTTTTTAAAAAAACACAATCAAAGTTAACTAAAGTAAATAGAAATTTGGTTCAGTTTTACTCGGTTCGGTTTTTTTGCCCAGCCCTAGTATAAAGTAGAAATCCAATGTACAACAAGATTCTCTAAATGATATGAAATCATCCATATGTTATTTTATAAACATGAAGTATATCAACAATACAATGTAACTATAATTGTTTGTATTATTCCACGTCATTGTAAAAACTCAAAAATCTCTTTCAAACTGTAAAAATCTCGTATATTGATTGTATCTAACTTGAAATTTTTAACTTATGATTTTTTTAAAGAGATTAATGTTTTAAATTCCTCATGTATTTTTAATCGGCAAATTAAATACTCAAGTATTATGTGCAAATTTATTCCCCAACTGATCATTGACAGTGAAAAATTATGATTTGAATAGTCAACCGTAAAAATTTGACGGAAACCATTATCTTTTTGTTAATCAGCTAACGGTTAACTATTTTTTCCTAATTTTTCGCAATCAACTATTAGTTAGGAAATAATTCTGCGAGAGCAATACTTGAGTATTAAAATTGCCGATTTCAAAAACTTGGAAAATAAAATGCTCATTTTCCTGTTAACTGATGCAATTTTCAGGGGTTAAGCTGGACAGCTGGACTAGACCAGGAATTCGGGGTTTGGTTCAATTCTTATGTGAATTGGTGGAAGAATTCAATTTAGAAATGAAATTTCCAATAAGGAAACCAATCAAACATCATTCCTCAAGACTCGAGAGAGAGTGAGCTTGAGAGGGTCGTTGAGAGAGTGAGCTTGAGAGGTTCTGAGACAGCTTGAGAGGATCGTCGAGAGAGTAAGCTTGAGACGATCATCGAGAGAGTGAGAGCTTGAGAGGGTCGAGACTCGAGAGAGTTAGAGCATGACAGATCGAGACTCGAGAGAGCTACAGCTTGCACAAGTCGAGACTCAAGAGTAAGAGCCTGAGAGGATAACCCGAGTGTGTGAGACGAGAGAGATCGAAGGCTGAATCAATGGAGAAGAGCTGCATCGATAGAGAGAGGCTGCATCTAATTAGTATTAGGATTTTGAATTTTTGTATAAAGTAAAATACATTAAGGGCAAATGTGTAAAATAAATCTCTAAACACAGATTTTTTTATCTCAAACACTGATTTTTTTGGCGCTCAATTTTCATCGGCGCGAGAACGTAGAGTTCAGCCGTAGACGCATGATGCAATAACAATGTCAATAAAACGAACAGGTTTTTTTTAAAAAATAACCGCAGCCGCAGGAAACTGCGTCTGCCAAACGAACATCACTAAAATAGTTAGTTTTTATCAAACTTTTTATATTCCAATATAATTTTATCCATCTTTATATAGTGATATAAAATAGTTGTTTTTAATTATAATTATTATAGTTTTTGTTCCACTTTTTATAATGACTTTTTCTATCTATATTGTATGGATGATTATGGTTTTATTCCTTTTTAGACATGTTTTTGTGCGTTTTTATATAAAGATTCAAAAAGTTGGTAAAATTTAAAGGAATTGGTTTTTATCAAATTTATTTGTATTCCTTTAAAATCTAAAATGAGAAAAAATTAGAAGATTACATTTCAAATCATTTAAAATACTTCAAAATATATTATTATGTGTTCAGTTGAACTCTTTCAAAATCAATTAAATTCTTGAAACCATATAGAGTATAAGTGATATATTACCCTCGGTGGAATGATCAAAGATCGTGTTGTTTTCTAAGAATCTTATAATTTGCCCTTTGTGTTTGTTTAAAATTGAAGGCTAGAACTTGTACTTTGATGTTTTGTTTAAGAGCCTATATTAGGCTTAGGATAAATATAAGGGAAAAAAAATAAATAAATAAATAAATATAAGGGAAAATTAGAAAATTAGGACACTCTCAATTTGGATTTGTCCCTATAAGACTTTTAGAAGATTTTTTGGGAAAATAGGATTTTCAAATCTATTAATACCATAATACCCTTTAAATTAATCAATTAAGGGGAATTATAAATTTAAATTAAACAAAAAAAAACAAGAAAAAAACAAAAAAAAAAACAAAAAAAAAACAAAAAAAAACAAGAATCGGGACACAAAGTACAAAGGGGAAATCGATAACTCTAATTTTGTTTTACATCATCTTCTCCGCCGAGCTCTCTCCCATGGCAATTCCGCCTTCTCTCTGGCATAATTATGTGACAATTCAACACATACTCGTACACGAAGAACACATTATGTATCAAGGTGACTCATGATTCAACACACCCGAGGATCAAAACTGATTCAAAGAGAAATATTTGGTTATTTTCGGTTCGGTTCTATTATCTGGGATCGGGATCGATCGATCTAAAATAGAGATCGATCGATCTATGATAGATTGATCGGTGAAGATCTACTGAACTGGACAAGGTCGATCAGTTTATGCTCCGTGCTTTTTTATGTTTTTGTTTAATCATCGAGATCGACCGTCAGGATCGACCGACTCTTTCTGGAATCGATCGATCCCGTGCTTTTTTATGTTTTTGTTTAATTAATACATGAAGTCTCACGCATGTTGTTTTTTTTTTGCAGGTTAAACTAATACCCGACGAGTAGCGGGTCTTATCCACTCGTCATTGCAACTAGACATTCATTCACCGGATTTAACATAGATTAGAACCATTTTGTATTGATAAGAAGAAAAGATGAAGCTTGTTGATGAATAATGTTAAACACACAGAGAAAACAGAGAAAAAGATCGTGAGGAAGAGAGAAAATCGTGGACAAAATATTCTCTAAGATATTTGGAAAACATCTTCAACCGAATATGGAAGTTTCCATATTTTGCGGATTACCTAGAATATGTATACTACCTAAGGCAGAACATAGTAGAAAATGTGGTAAACGTATTATTTCTCAAGCGTCACATAAGGTAACATGCTGAACTGGTTATAGCACAAAATCTGGATGAGGTATATCAATAAGTTATGGTTATAAATCGGTATCTAGCTTCATGTACACCAAAGACATATGCCTTGATTATAACGTTACCAATACTACCTTGGTTAGAATAGACAAGAAATT